TGCTGGAGACTCCCCATTGCCACAGCCCTTGATGCTGTCGGAGAGCTCTGCCAGCAGTGCTGCAGAGATTACTGCAGCTTGTGCCTACTTTGGAAAAAAAAAAAAAACCCAACCTTCTCCTTTAGAAGTAATTATGTATGTGACAACAAGCAGAATGTCAAATACAGACAGCTAATGCTGCAGTCCTGCATGCGTTTCAAACACCTTTTACTGGAGGCATGAAGCCTTCCTTGTTTTCGGGCAGCCTTATTTGAATGTTTTGGGCCAGGACATTTAGGGGAGAGGGGGATGGAGAAGAAACACAAGGGCTGGACAGTTTTTATCTGACTGTAAGTCATTAAAAGCAAACCAGATGGTTCACTTAACAGTGGCATTAAAGTAAAATGAGTAAAAGTATGCCGAGGGCATAGTAAAATCTTTAATTTGTCATCCATCCTCAGGCTTAGCCATTGATTGATGGACGATTTCACAAAAGTGTCCAGATTAGATTCTGAATGAATCAATTTACTATAATATTAATACAGTGCAATTGCTGATGCATTTACTTTTTATTGCATAGACTTACTTCTTCACAATTTTGCTTACCTTTGAGGTATAGCTCAGTTCAGTCACCAATTGAAATGAATGCCATTGAGTAATGCTGAGTTCCTAAGGAAAATAAAAATCTGTCTTTAAGTGGAGCCCTAAAAACCCATGGCTGATGTAACTGAAGTACTGAGGAATGGTAATACAAGACAGAGCAGCTGACATGAGCACTGTGTCTCAAGACATTTTATTCTAGCCCATAACTATCTGCCATGGTCCATTTATCTGTCCCATGACCAACTTTAAGCAGAGATTAATGGACACTTCTGCAACACGGGTTAGCACACAGAGTGAAGCTGCAATATCTTGTATTGGCTGGGATCGGTCCTGCTAAAAGCATCTGCATTATAATTTATGCACATATTTCATCACAGTAAACTTCCTTTGCAATGAGGTGTCTGAGTAGTGAAAAGTAACTTAAAAGGGAAGGGGAAGGGTTGTTATTACAACTCTTTTCATAATTATAACCTAGCAATGGTGTTAAGTTTTATATACAAAACCATCAGCTGTATTTTAAAGTGCATCTCACCTCCAGGCCCTTCTTTTGGCCTTAACTTGCACCATTTATTTCTCCTTTGATTTTACTCCCAATTTATTATTTTTAACCTGGTTACTATAGCAATTTTCCCCTTCATATAGGTCACACAGACAAAAGATTGCTGCCCAGATAAACTGACACTTAAGAAAAAATAAAACAGATTATTGTCTTTGCCAGGATAAAACTCTTCTACCAAGCAAACAGTCAAGGACAGATAAAGTAATCTAAAATAATAAATCATTTTTCCAGGTATTTTCCTCACAAGTGAATGTTACAAGTTTATCATCTATAAGAAACTTTTCTAGAGATCTGCTTTTTTTTTTAATATATAAAAACTTTTTTTTTCCCTGAAAAGAGGGGAACAAAATCCAAACTATTTTGGCCCAGCTATTAAGCAGTTGATGCTCGTGTTGCGATATAGGTCTATCCCACAAAAACCCTATGACGAACAGTTAGAGAACTGTCCTGTCCTAGTTTACTGAAATCAAACAGATTGAAACAGATCTTTTGAGACTCTTTATGAACCAGGTTTGTTAGGCCACACATGGTGACACACTGTAAGGTCTGTGTTGGTTGCAAAAGCAGGTATTCAGCCAGCCTTAGATCTACATAACACACTGGCACATGTGACATGATCTCCCCCAGGTCTCACAGTAAATAATCCACTTATAGCCTGGCCAACTGAGCACTTAGTTTGTTCTGTCATGTTGTAGGACAGTTGTAAAAATTAAAGGATGAATGTTGGACAGGATTTTGTCAGACAGAAAGTTTATTTTCAAAAGTTAGTGCTTTTGCTGAAGGGCTAGAGAGTGAACCTTTGATGAAGATCACCTCACTCTCAATACTGATGAGTCACTACACTGAGATATACTTTGTCGTGATAGCCAAAGTCACAGTCAGTCTTATACAGGTGGATTAATTGTGGAGGCGGAGTGGAAATTTCATAAACCATGGACTTGAAAAAAATCACACATGGTTTTATTTTTAGGTCTTTAGGTGGTCTGGTCTAGGTAAAGAGTATTATGGAAGAAAATTCCCAGTGGCTTCAACACCTTTTCTAGCTTGACCTTTTTTGCTACCTTGTTCATTGAAACCAGGTTTAATTAAAATGCTGACAAAAATGAGTTTGGGAGTTCTGCTTGTAACAAGTCTTACAACAGCACCGGTCCATGATTTGTATGAATTAATGATAGTCCGTTACCAAGGGCTGGTTTTGTCCCAGTATGATACAGACAAAATTAAAGAGGCTGTCAAAGCAAACAAGTTGAATTTTTGATGTGAAACAATCATTAAAAATACAGAGTTTTAAAGACAAAATTAGTTTAATGACTTTTCTGTTGCAGATTGTCTTTGAGAAAAATTATACTAAAATATCCTATTAAAATTACTTCCCATAATAGATTTCTAGTCTCACTTCTTAACAAGCAGGTCTAAAAGATACTCATCAGAGGCTGAGATTATATCTAGTAAGTCATATAATTGCTTTAGGCCCTATGGCTGAGTGTATTGGCCAACGGAATGGGATTCAGGACACCTGAACTCAACTCTATGTTCCAAGACCAGACTTCTGAGAAACTTCACGTTTCTACGTTTTACTGTGCAAAAAAAAAACCCCAGAGCAAATGATATTGACTGCTTTTGTGAAGGTCTTTGAAATCTGTTTATGAAAAATGCTGCATACAAGCTACTTATTGTTATTCTTATTATCAAGAGAAAGGGCTCTGTGCAAAAATTACATGGAATACTTGTTTTCTCCCTGAAGGAGAAAATTAAGAAGAGTGCCTCAGCACATCTGCTAATGATTAACCATGCCACAATTCTGATATTTTGTATTACTGGACATTTTGGGTATGTGTGATGACCAAGAGTTTTGCCCTTAAAGGCAGACTTGTTGCATGGAACATGCTTTGTGTAGGGACCATACGCATAAGCGCAATTGTGGAGTACTGTGCCACCAAGGGGGTTGTCCGTAGGTTGCCAGCATAGCACTGATATGGGCAGAAAGTTGGAGAAAGTCCAAAACATTGACCATTGCTGACATTCTGGGCTGTATCCGGAGAGGTGTGGCCAGCAGGTGGAGGGAGGTGATTCTGCCCCTCTACTCTGCTCTGGTGAGACCCCACCTGGAGTGCTGCATCCAGCTGTGGAGCCCTCAACATCAGAAGGATATTGACCACTTGGAGCGAGTCCAGAGGAGGCCACGAAGATGATCAGAGGGCTGGAGCACCTCTCCTATGATGAAAGGCTGCGAGAACTGGGCTTGTTCAGCCTGGAGAAGAGGAGGCTCCGAGGAGACCTCATTGCAGCTTTCCAGTATCTGAAGGGGGCCTACAAGGGTGCTGGGAGAGGACTTTTTACAAGAGCCTGTAGTGATAGGACAAGGGGTAATGGGTATAAATTGAAATCAGGGAGGTTTAGATTAGATGTCAGGAAGAAATTCTTCACAGAGAGGGTAGTGAGGCACTGGAACAGGTTGCCCAGAGATGTTGTGGATGCCCCATCCCTGGATGTCTTCAAGGCCAGACTGGATGTGGCTTTGAGCAACCTGATCTAGTGGAAGGTGTCCCTGCCCATGGCAGGGGAGTTGGAACTAGATGATCTTTAAGGTCCCTTCCAACCCTAACCATTCTATGATTCTATGATTCCAGCATGGAAGGGGTGTAGTCAGGCATTGGCAAAGCCTATGCAAAGATTTTCTATATACTTTCAGCCTACAAATCTTTCTCTGCTACAAAGCAGGCCATGCAGCAATGCTAAGTACTTTGCCACATGGTCAACTAGGTATTTTTTTTCTGAACTTGTGCGCAGAAAAAGAGAAGCAAAGAGCTGGTTGAGAAAGTCCAGCTTTCCTGACTCATATTAGTGACTTTTCTATGAAATCAACCATTTCCAGGAATCTGCTACCTAACAGATTCATTTTTCCCCATGAATTTCATCACCTATGCCCTGACCTCAGAAGCCATTTTAATGTTTCATTTTTTAAATTTTTATTTTCTCTAATATGACAAGATAAATTGTAGTCTATTAGCCTTGATTTTAAGGCCAGGTGGATAAATAAGCCTTTATCAAAGGAAGAGCCATGAGAGCATTATTTAATCGGTCACACATTATGTGAGTGCTAAGCAGCATTTCAAGAAACATGGAAATCTCCTGGGAAAAAAAGATGATGGTTTGGGCAGCTCATGTTTTGTATGCTAATTACCATCATGCTCTTCTATCTTCTGCCCTCACCATGTTTCAGCTTGGTCCATGTCCCTTTGGATAAGGCAACTGATCTCTTAAGTGCCAGTGCTGTAAGGTCTAGTATGCCTGCCTGCCTCTGCTCTTATTTTGCCACATCTGTGAATGCACCTACTTCTGCACCTACTGTTATTCATGTATTTAGTATGTTACTATGCTGTGCATTGTTTGGTCTGTTACATAATGTCCACAGGGCATAAGAACTGAACACCCAGAATTTAAACACAAGAAGTGGCTGGCCTGGTCACATTTTAATTGATTGCTTACTTCAATTCCTGAATCCAGTGTTTTTCCACTGTAGGATCTCCCTGTCTTATGTATTCCTTGGATTCCACGTAAGCCACTAGCATTTAGATCTGATTGATGTATGCTTAGCTTGGGAAAGTGATCTGCAGTTTCATTTCATGGTTTTCCTCAGGCAATTTCTTACAATATTGCAGACCATTTCAATTCCGACATCAAGACACAACTCTATCAATTCACTCCTGCGGTATCATCTCACTTCCCCAAAGCAGTGTACAGCCTTCTGGCTGGTTATTAATAATAGTAAAGCATGTATCGTGGTATCAGTTAAAGTATCTAGAATTGTGTCCCAATTATTAATTTTCCTTTCTTTTTATTCCCACTTCACCACCAGCTGCATTCAGACCAGGATAAAGGCGACGGATCACTTAAGTACATCCTTTCTGGAGATGGAGCAGGAGACCTCTTCATTATCAATGAAAACACTGGTGACATCCAGGCCACAAAGAGACTAGACAGAGAAGAAAAGCCTGTATACATACTCCGTGCCCAGGCTATAAACAGAAGGACTGGAAGGCCAGTGGAACCAGAATCTGAATTCATCATTAAGATCCATGATATCAATGACAATGAGCCAATGTTTACAAAGGACATTTACAATGCCAGCATTCCTGAAATGTCAGATGTTGGTAGGTGCTAACTAACAACTGATTTCAGTGTCTGGTCTGTGTTCTTTCTGTGGAGTTAATGTAGGGCCCAAAGCTTACGGGCACTGAATACAGACATCTGCTGTTTGAGTCTGGAGTAAAAACACCTCAGCCATTTAAAAAAAAAATCTAACTCCAGGAAAATAGTGACAACAGTTTTCTGGAATCAGAGGTGTCAGCTGAGTGAAACCCATTTCCTCTGCTGTACCACAAAAAATGCAAGTGAATACAATCTAGTTTAGCTCACAGTGAAAGTTAGCTGAGCTGTGTTACCTGTAAAGAGTTTAATATGCTTTGTTAACACGATTTAGTAGCAGCGTAATAATATGGTAATCCACGGTCACCTAAGTGTTACCATACCACCCCTAAATCAGTTCAGCAATGCTTCTTTAGTTCAGGAAGGTTAAAAAAATGGAAAAGGGCAGGTGCAGAAGTGAATTATACACACTTCAGGAGCCAAAACTGGCACCTACGTCAACTCATCACTAATTCTGAGATATGTCATTAACTTATGACCTTTGTTGCTCTTTTCATGTCAAAAAAAAAGAGCTCCAAAGACCACTGAAGTCCATTGAAATCTTTCTATTGATTTAAAATGTATCAAGCTGTAAGAATCCATCAAGAAAAGAAAAGGAAATAAGTTCCTTGAAATACGATTTTAAGACTGGATCTTTCCACAGAAGTTGACAGGTTTTGATTCTTTGTCTCTGATTCTTAGGGAGGTCATTTTGATTGCTTTGTCAGAGTGCAATGGATGGTTGAACTGCAAGAAGCACATTTCTAATCTGAAATTGTATCCAGGGAGAGAAGCATTAATTAATCGTAATCGAGAATGAGATTAAAATAAAGCTCAAGCAATATGAAAATAAAGACTTTGGGCCATACTCTCTCCTCTCATTTATGGGACTTGTCACATGGATGAAACCTCATCTGTTGAAGAGAGAACCTAATATTCACATTTTAATATGGGAAGTGAATACTTTATTCACAAACCTGTTTCAAATGCCAAAACCTAAGCTCATTTTTTATGTTTGTTAACACTTTGCTTAAGATTCAACACCATTTCTTTCTCTAGAAGACACATGAAAAAAAAAGATTTACATTCCTCTGTCAAACACCCTACAAGCATGAGTAAATTTGCAAAAGTATATTCTTGACCTATATTCAAATTCTGAATGCCTTCAGTATCTGGGGAAGGGTGCGAGTCTGGTTTCTTCATAAGAAACATGATAAAGAGTCGACATATACAATCAATAACTGTGTATTTTAATGAACTGAGGATAAGTCAACTATCATTTTGGTTATGTATCTGTGTCCTTTACGAACAGAAAAACTTCTGAAAAAGAAATATATCTCTTAACTTTCTGCTACAGGTTTGACCTGAACATTAACTACGCTTTTTCTACATCATAAACTGTCTCAGCCATGAAAAAAAAACTGTGAATTTTAATTTTCTGTAATTTATCACTGCAGGTACCTTTGTTGTGCAAGTCACCGCAACTGATGCCGATGATCCTACATATGGGAACAGCGCTAAAGTTGTCTACAGCATTCTCCAGGGACAACCATATTTCTCCGTCGAATCTGAGACAGGTCAGGGGACCTTATCTGTCATTCTGTGACAATGTCTGTAATTCAAAATGACATGCTAAGCCAAGCTAGGACATAGCAGACAAAAACTTCAAAGAGATTACATCTTACTCAGTGCAAAATCTGACAAACTTAATAGAGCGATACATCTATAAACATGACACCTACATTATTTTAATCTTACCGGCAAAGTCTAATAAATACAATTAGTACTGGATGTGAACCAGTTTCCATCATTTTTAACAAGCAGTGGGTACAGAGACTGCCGTGGATACTTAAATTAAACCAAATCGGTTGCCTTTTAGACGAAAATGAGAAACAGGTGGGTGTGGAATAAAGTGCTTAATCCTCATAGATCTTCATAATGGCTAAATTAAGACTGAGAGTTTATTCAGGTAGTTTGGGGTTTTTGGTTGGGGTTTTTTTTTTTTTTTCTCCTTCTGCTTCTTCAAAACTTGTTTAAAGTAATTATAATTTCTGTACATCTGCAACATATCACTTTAATGCTAATTTTATGAAAGAAATCTTAATTAAGAAAAATGATGGAAGAGGTAAAATTGGCTGTTGTGCTACACTAGAAGATCACAAATAGAATCCCAAACTTCTGAGTTCTGTTTTTGGAAGATGTTTAAATTATACACAGTGACTGGAATTTTTTATGGTCTGAATAACAGACAACTTTGGAACCTGTGCATGCAGGACAGAATTGTGGCTGACTGAATCTGCTGTACCGTTGACTGTATGACTACACAGATAACTCTTTTCCCAAGATTTATAACAAAATTCCCCAACGAGAAACAAAGGATAGCAAGAAACTCCTTAAATGGGAGCATCCACTGTGATAGGTTGCTGGAAGCTAGAGAAATCAGTCCTCCTCAGCATCCTTACAGGAAAGGAATGGATTATCCCAGAGAATTAGTCAGGTTTTAGAATTGTTTCTTAAATAAATCTTAGAGACTCAGGCAGGGAAAAGGAGGGAGAGATTAGGTGTATCAAAGAAAAACCTGAGGTGAAAAAATGTACATAATTCTGAAAAGGAGAGCCAAGATCAAAGGAAGCTTCCCTTCAAGCACAAGGTATTAGATAGTATAAACAAGGATTTTTGCACCGATGCACTCGTCCTGACTTGGACAGTACACCATGTGCTATTCTATCTAGAGTTATAATAAGGATAATGTAGCTGGGAGTTCGCCAGTAATAATTTTTTAGCAAGAGAGTTGTATGGGGCACAGAGGGGAAGCAAGGTAAACCACAGGCTTGATCTTCCTGCCATGGAAATCAATTGTAAAACTCCTAGACTGAGATAAGTCTCTGTCGAAGCTGCTCTGAATTTTGCCATGGATTTCAGTACTTGGATTTCATCCCTTTTGCCTACAAAGGAGACACTTCTTAGCCTTAAAAGACCCATTGAAAATGCAAATATTTTACTTCATGGTAAATCTGAATGATTGAATTTCAGCAGGCATTGGCCTCATAACTGGTATTTGTGCCTTTGAAGAAAATCATTTCAATCAATTTATAAATAGGAATGTATACTTGGGCATGCTTGGATGCTCATAATTTTCTTAATTAATTTCTCTTCTCCCAGTTAATGTTGTTGTACTGCCTCTTTAATGATGTCTTACTGAAGTTAGCTTCCCCCCATCCCCCCTACCATATCTGTCAAAATAAAAATATTGACAGAACGGGAGAGAAAAGATGGAGCACATTATAATGAACAGAGACTTTTTTCCAGCTCAGTGAGAGATTTTAGCATTGAACTGAAAGGGGGTGAATAGTTATGTAAAATCACACTGCTCACAAATAGGTAGAACATCTTTCTGGTGATGCCACTAATACTGTGTCTGTCACATAGGCAGCAGCCTGAGATATGATATGACAAGTCTGCAATTTAATGTGCCATCTCATAACAGTAAATATTTGTACTGGGCAAAGTTTACTTATTACACAGAGATTGTTTTGTTCTTTAGGCTGTAGGGTTTTTTTAATAAGAATTTCATCAAAGTCAGTACCTTACTTGTGAATTCCCCCTCTTTAATTTTCATGTTTTCAGGCATTATTAAAACTGCTTTGCTAAACATGGACCGTGAAAACAGGGAGCAATACCAAGTGGTCATCCAGGCTAAGGACATGGGAGGCCAGATGGGCGGATTATCAGGAACCACCACTGTGAACATCACGCTGACTGACGTAAACGACAATCCGCCTCGTTTCCCACAGAGTATGGAACATTTACGTTCTTTGTCTACACATTAAAATGGTCAACAATTGGTTTGTATCTGCTTTCACCTCAGATATTGTTTCTGCTGTCATAAATCTACTGAGTATCAGACTTCTTTTAAGAAAGAAAAAGACAACACAAAAGCAAGAAGTAGCATCATGCTAAGAATAATTGTAATAACTGGGAAACATATCTTTACTATTTTTACTTTACAGTAGATAATGGGAGAGGTGCATTAATGTAGAGAAACATTATACTTCCTACTCATTAAGTAGCTTTGACTGACATAATCTATATTTCTTGATCAATATTATTTCTATTAGACTTCGTGGTTGACTGTGTTTTAAGATATCTGTTCTAATCTAACATATTTAAGTTTTGAAATGTATTTATTTAAGTACATAAAATGATCCCAAGAGCAATTCTATGAAAATGAATACTTACACCCAGGAAGCATTTACCTCAATGGATTTTCCTATATTCTTTACATAAAGAAACAAAAGGATATACATACGTACATGAGGTATTTCTATTTTCCTTCCCCTGTCTCAGATCATTTGGTAGATATCTGAGGTATTTGAGGGAATCAGTTGAGCAAGATCTCTTAGAAAGTACTTTCCATTAATGACCATTCATGGCTGTAAGTGATTCAAAGCGATTCGTCTTTCATCGACTTTTTTTCTTTTTTTCCTTCTTTCTCTTTCTTCTTTTTTGCCTGGTCTAAGTGTGAAGTGTGTGTATCACAGTGTCAGTGTGTGTAAAAGTCAAGAGCAGCTGTTAGAGAAAATAATTGCAGATACTATCAAATAAATCAGCAAGCTTTGGCGGTTAAGTCACTGGGAAAGTTACTGGAAGCAACTTGTCATTTAAGTTCAAAGTCTGTTCTTAGCTATGGGCAAAGTGTTTCCATTTAAATTAAGCGAAAAAATATAGCACTCTGCCTCAAATGAGTTAATTATACATCTCTGGACATAAGTGTCTTCAATATAAAAGCCAAAGATACAGCTTCATAATGCCAACATTCCCCAAGCAGAGTTTTTTTTCCAAGGAGAATTCAATGTAGCACATAATTAATAGGCATTTGGGCTGAATTTTGATGTAGTGTTACTAAGCTGCATTGGCCTCTGGAAGTTCTTAATAGTTGTCTTTTGGCTTCAAGACATTTTTCGTATACAATTTTGATAGAGCAATCAGAGACCCTGATTATGTCTTGAAAGGGATATGTTGCTGAAGACACATGAATGTAGGAAACCAAAATGCCCATCCTTCATACTAGAAAATTGATAGAAAAATAAGTTAGTTCTACCCACATGAAAGTAAGACAGAAGCTGAAGGCTGTTGCCCCAGGAAGGCCTGAAGACACAGCGACTCACTAGCTCACCTGCGCATGCCCAGCACTGACTGTGGGCTGAGAGATGGTGTCCAAAGCAGCCTGAGATTGACTGACAAAATTTCCTTCTCTGTCTGCTGTAGGCACATACCAGTTCAGAGCTCCTGAGTCTACACCACCTGACTCACCAGTTGGCAGGATAAAAGCTAATGATGCTGACGTGGATGAAAATGCAGAGATTGAATACAGCATCACTGAGGGGGATGGATATGACATGTTTGGAATTACCACGGACAAGGACACACAGGAAGGAATTATAACTGTCAAAAAGGTACACATCTTAACACACTTAATCCCAGCCTCTGAAATACCAGTCAAAACTTTATCTAGCACATATTTGTTTTCCATTTTTACTGCAACATGTGTTGTTTATTAATTTGAATGCTATATATTAGGAATCTCTACATCGCCTCTGTGAAGTTTCTTTTATACAAGCAATCGGGGTCCTTCCTCTTACATTAAAGTACACAGACAAATTTCTTTTGACTCACATTTTGTAAAAATATAATTAATAAATCCATCAGCATGCTTTTGCTTTAGAAAAAAATTCACAGTACCTTGCTGGATCACAATGGACATCGTCTACTAGGCTGCACACTGGCCGTCAGAAAAGGTTTGAGAAATTTTGTTTGCAGTGGGTTATCAGGCAAGTTTGATAAGGTTACAGATATCATCCTCCATCAGTTCGAGTTCAGTCATCACTCGATAGACATTGTGTAGATTTTCCGAACATGCACTTGCTCGTTGATATCCGTACGACACCTGTCGTTACTTGTTTTTTAGGAGATGCCTTCCAGGGGTTGATTATGATATCAGTCTATCTCTGTTTGCATTTCTGTCTGTTTCTGACAGAAGCTGTGAATCTTCTGAAACATAATGGAAAAACGGGGTGACTACTCTCTCCCCACATTTCTCTAAGTACTGTAACTTGCTAAATGCTGCTTCTTCATACTTCTAATAGAGTGTGATATAGCCACAGCCTGTCATGAAGTCATGTTTCCCTAGATGGGTGGTCCTCAATGTCCAGACACTAGATGTCACAGTGTTCCGTTGCTGTGATGGAATGCCAATATTTAAACAAGCAGCTCGTAGAAAATTTTGCCCTCTTTAGTGTGTGTTGCTTAAAGGCGAGGAATAGAAAAGAAAACATCAAAATACCCAAAATGACAGAATAAAAGGCATGACAAGTTAAGACTACCTGAGAAGGAAGATTAACTGATGTTTAGGGCTTCCCGGCATAGAATTCCCTGCAAAAAGTGTGGGCTTTTTTCTATACGGTATCATCAGTGGCATCAAGCCCTGTCTTTCTCCTTTCTGCTGGCATTTTAATTCCACTTCAGCCACATGTTATCTAGTACAGGCCTCTCCATGACATGCACCCATTCATTTGGCTCATATGGCTGCAAGCCGCAGCAGTCCCCACAGACCTTTCAAACTTCTTTTTTTTTTTTTTCCCCTCTTCCCAGCCACTGGATTTTGAAAATAAAAACCTGTATATTCTGAAAGTGGAAGCTACCAATACTCACGTGGACCCTCGTTTCCTCTACCTGGGGCCATTCAAGGACTCAGCTACAGTCAGAATTCAGGTGGAGGATGTAGATGAACCCCCTGTGTTCAGCAGACCAGCATACATAATGGAAGTGAAAGAAGATGTTCCAATAAACAGCGTAATAGGAACAGTAACTGCTCAGGATCCAGATGCTGCCAAGAACCCTGTCAAGTAAGCATAGACTATTTCAGCTTGCGTGTAAACTTTTTACAACTTTAATTTTGCTCTTGCATGTCAGCACACAAAAAAAACCCTCCATGTTTAACAATGAAATTGTTTAGGTGTGCTTAAGTATGTAGTATTGTAGATGGCAAATGATCTCTCACAGTTGAGTGTACCTATGTATGTGTGATTGTGTTTGCATGGCCCTTGCATCTTGAATTACATCCTATCCTCTTCAGTAAGTGATGTTTGTGGTTATTTCTACCATGGAAGAATTTACTAAGAAAAGAGCACTAAGAAGATGTTAGTGTTCTCCTCCCACTTTAACATTTTCCAGTGCAGTGCAGTGCATCCTCTTGGCTATATGACAGGGTGATTCAGCAGCTCTTTCTTCTCTCTATCCACCCAGACCTGCTTAACAAAGGTTACATTTACCTTCTCTAAACTGCAAGTAGAAATGCCTTAAAAGCAGCTCATGTGCACACACAGACTCTGATCTCACTTGTATCAGTGCAAGGTTAGTAAGATAAGAATCAGTATCGTGGACTTCATAAATTACACTTGCTGTGAATCAATAAACTAGTCACAGAGGAAGTGGTGGAAATGTTGAGGTTAGAGGACCTAAACCTAAGCCTTCACTTCTTGTAAATTAACAAGTACGTTGTTTCAGCACATTTGAAAGCATACTGGAATACTTAAGTCATATTGGATAGAGTATAAAATAACTTTTAAATAGTTGTGTCCTTTAATTAAAGTTCATTGCTACCGACAAGGCAGTAAGGGGAGGAAATGAAAAATACAGCAATATTAAATCCAGGTCAATTTTCATCATGTCTCTGGGTTGGGCACCTTGGAAATGCAATAGTAGTCCCAAGATCTAAATAGAACAATGCAGGTTTAATAAAAATCCAATCCATCAATACTTTGCAATTCTGCAAACAACTATCTTTCATCAAGATATCTTACAGTGTTTATGAGGCATGAGTAAGTTTTAAGCTCTCAGCTCATCTTGGGAGGGGGGTAAATATTATCATCATAATTTCTTAGTTGAAGAAACTAGATTTCAAACCTTTTCTGGGAGAAACCCTCTGTCTTCAGTTTAGATGCAATGCCCTGCACACGAATTTGTGCTCAAGACTAAGCCTTCCAATTTTAATTAAGGTCTGCTTTCATTTCTGTCTCAACATGCAACGATTATATGGAGTTCTGGACTAGCAGAGCATAGTAACCCTAAAGAGCAACATAATGTTTTGCTGACTTTGGTGAAGCCCAGGGACAGAATAAACACCTTCTATAGCATGTCTTCCTGGGCAAGCTAGCATGAAGATGAAAAACTGGTTGGGGTGATACCCAGGCCCCTCCCAGCCTCCATATGAACCTGCCCTTTTACATCTAATGGCACTGGATAGTGAGGGGCGGTCTTCCCTGCTTCCCTCTGCTTCCCTGTGGTGATAACTACAACCATTTGCATTTCACACCAGCACCAGCTCCTAATTATAAGTGATTTACCGTGGATGGGGATTATGCTGTTCATTGTTGTGTACTGCCTACTGGCTCTTTTCTATTAATTGAATGTGTGTGCTGCAACTTACCTATCTTTCAAAGGGCAGTTCTTCACTGTAGTCTAGGTACTGTGCATATTAAAGTACCACGTAATTATTGAACAAAATTTAGCAGAGGTGTCAAAATTGATGCAGTGCAGCATAAAACTTGTCTCCTTTATACTCTAATAGCATGCAGCAATCAAGGTGAAAGGAGAAGAAAAAGAAAAATGAGGAAGAGGTTAGAGTAATAGAAATAAACACAGCAAGAAGAAACATGAAAATCAGTAAGAGGGGAAGGAAATCAGAAGAAAGCAGTAGCCTGAGAGACGTTAGATTGTAATAAATGTAATTTTATGGTGCTAATATCTCGAATATCTCCTAGAATTTAGGGGCACGGGTTGAGTCTGCATCCTTTTTGACAGGGTGATTTTTTTTCCATCATGCAATAGAGATGCTAAATCCGATTTTCACTCTGAGCTTCGAGAAAGATGCAATTAGACTGTATATATATGACTTGTCACTTGCTTGTCAATTTTTCTTGACGGTTAAAAATAAAATCTTTAGACACTTGATATTACAATGAAAACCGTCCATTTTCTCCTCTACTTGAGTGAAGATTTCTCTTTTTAAACAAATTAACTCTGTTAGATGAAAGACCCTTTGATCTTCCATTAAAGGAAACCTTCACAATATCATTATGAAAATACATTATGAAAAATTCACACACACACGTCTCTTCCTGACCCACAAATCTTCCTGACTTGTGGTTACATTAGAAAGAAAGCTGCTGAACATCAGAAGACAATGAAGCAATAGCAAAACACGAAGCGGATATCTGCCCTGGATGTAAGAGCGAATAATCATTCATGACCTGTGTGTTGGCAGAGCTACATGTCATCAGTCCAGGCCTGATAAGGAAGCTTTGCTGTGTCATGACATTAAGAAAATAACAAAAATACACAAATAGATGTTTGGCTATATTTGGATACGCATCCAGGCGTAGCAACATTAATACACTCCTGAGTAACACTCCAGCTGTGTTAGAAAAAAAGTTCTGCTTCTGCTTGATCTAAACAGAAATACTATGAGCCACTGCATACTGAAAAAGAATAATGCTGCAACCGGCACTGCTGTATTGTACATCAGATCTTTTTAAATTGCTAGTTGAGTTTTTTTGCTATAGTAACTCCTCAGAGGCATAATGAAGTTCATCAGTCACTGGAACTGTCTCCCTGCTGTGATTTGATTTACTAAAGTATCCCAGATGAAAATGATCTGCAAACAAATGTAAGGCTTAATTTTGTTTGTGTATTTTACTGACAACATATTTGCATGTGTTAGATTTTTTCACCCTCCCCTTCTTCCTGTTATGTACAAGGAGATTCTGGAATCTACATAAATAACCTTTTAGCATCCTAGCTTGTCAATTCCTCAAGGTTTGAAAGGGATGAAGTCCTGAAACTTGATAAATACGCACCAGTAATTTCATTAAGTAAATGTAAAAATGAGTTTGATGTTGTCTGCTTAATTCTTACTAGGTTATGATCCATAAGTCAGAATCACCACCAATTCAACATAATTAACAGCCTTTGATCAAAAGAGACTGGATTATACAAATTGAGAAACAGAAGTGACAGTCTAGCTTATTAAAATCAACCTTGTAGACTCGGGTTAATGGTATAATTAGAATATACTTTAACTGCATTGACCTTGTATGTATTTTCTTTTGAATGTGAAGAAATAAAATTAACATTTCATTAAGAAGCTGTTCTCTGGTTTGGTTTTGGCGTTTTCGGGGGCTTTTTTGGTGAGTTTAACTTTCCTCTGTACAAATGACTGAATATGCCTAAGGTTTTATAAGGACTTATATTAAAAATTCTTAATATCTTGAAGAAGTCCTCAGTGTTATAGCTCTGCTAACCTTAGAAAAAGTCCATAAGAATATATGGGTTTTTTTCATTCCTTCCAGATACTGTACCACAGATTGAATTTGGGAAAACTTACAAATTAATGATAGTGATTACAGTATGCCAAGACATTAAAATGTGCGAAGGCAGTGAGATATTTCAAGTCCATTCATAACATGAAGCATAAGTGAAAGCATAATTAAGAAGAAAAAACAACAACAAAAGGACAACTCATGCTTAAAGCTAGTCGCTTACTGAAATATCTTGCTGAATAAGAGCCTGAAACATACTATTACAGTTGGCTGGGACAGCTAATCTATGGAAAATACTGATATTACATTTCAAATAGGAGTGCAGAACCTAGATTTACTGCAAAATGGAAACACCAAAGTATTTCAGCTGAAAGATATGGAAATGAGCTACAAAATATCTGAAAAAATAATTGAATTCACAAAATACCAACATAATATCATGTAAAAGCCTGAATGAATGAAAGTTAAAATGAAATGTTTACCATATCAAGCAGTTATTTTCCCAAAATATAAGCAAGTCAGACCAGTTTGTATAAACTTGTTTCCATCAAACAGTTCAGCTAAGTCAACAAATTCACGTGTAGTATTTAGATTTGGCCAGAACAACACAGCTTGCTGGAGCTGTCCCCTCCATCAGCACTGCCTATGACATACCTTCTCACACGGTAACATTACAACGCTGCACAAAGGAACTAGGCCAGTGACGCCGCGGCTGGCTTCATGACGCTGAAATTGCGGCACCGTTAGTGTCAGCAACGAAAAAAAACGAACCAATTCCTGAAAAACTGGCAAGGTCCTACCAAAAACAGTTAGCCGGGCGAGTACCTTTGAATCTCATTTGATTGTTTCCACGGGAATCACATGCAGAAAAAGAAAAACTATTTATTGTAAAGAATTAACTCTTGCTTAGGAAGATAGGCTACACAAAAATTCTCATCTTAGTATAAGACCATACTAATTTGCTCTGGGTATTATATCCCTTTTAACTTTTCTTTTTAACTTGCAAAGAAGGAAAAAAGAAAATGCAGTTACAAGATAGGTAGCAAGTTAGTTTGTCAGAATCACGTCTCGACTGGACTCTTCTATTCCCTTCTATTCTCCGAAGTTAAGAGACACTGCACAGGCACTGGGAAGGCTGTGCAGAAGAAGGGACACGTTGAGCAGCTGCTCCTAGGGCAGAGCAGGGAGTGGAATTTTTTCTTCAGCCCCTCAGTTCTGCAGTGGCGGCAAACTCTGCCAGTCCTTCTCCTGGCCCAGGTCTCATCTGGCTGCATACCGGATCAGCGGCACCTTTGTCTTTGCCTGCACACAAGGGACAGCAGCAGCTGCCTTGTCTCCATCCATGTGGCCTGCACGGAGACCAAGGGAGCACACTGGGCTTCCTAAGGCTCCGTCCTGGATTGTACATGAGCACACATTTGGGCTTGAAACAAGAGCAGAATAATGCAATTGTATTCTTGCTTTCACAACAGCAGAGACATATTTCTGTCAAAACCTCCGTAATTTATACATTCATTTTTCTCTTCACGAGAGACAAGACAGAGTCATGGCACTTGGATCAGGGTGGCAGCACCCTCTCCCGTGAAATGGAGGGTTCTGCTTTTGAAGTTGGATTAGGTTCAGGAGAAAAAGCGAATGATCAGATTGAAAATCTGAATCCGTATTTAGACTCTGAGCTCCTCCAGAGTTCGTTACATTCATTTTCACATCTAGATACCATCAAGCAGGGCTGAGCATGTTAGCTTTAATGAATTATAGTAAATCGTTATGTGATATGTACCGTGGAATAATGAATCTCTCTTCCGTGCTGACTTGTTGGGGGTGGGGGGCAGTCTTTTTAAACACTGGGAAGTAAAAGGCAGAAATGCACCCCAGCTGTCAAATTTTATATCAGAAATGATTTGCAGCAGTTGAGATATCAAACCATTAAAAGACAGTTTTATAATGGGAAAGCCAACTCAGCCTTAAAATAAACTTCATATCTTTCAGGACACAGACTTCACATTTCTAACTAAACACAAAGCTTTGATGATTCTCAGAGGTATGTAAATGCCGCAGTAATTCATTTATTCAGTGACAACGCTCCACCTTCTAATTCAAACCTCCAGTGTGTCATTATCCAGTAGCTCAGAACTAGCTCTTTGTGCAGATATATAAAGACTCCGAAGCCTGCGCTGAAAACAAAAGGCAACCCCATTTACTAGCTGCTTGACGTGTAGTCTTAGAAAATGGCTTAAGAACATATAAATTAAAAGCAAAGCATTCTCCTAACCCCTGTCTCTGTACTTGCAGGTACTCTGTAGATCGACACACTGATATGGACAGAGTATTCAACATCAATTCAGGAAATGGTTCGATATTCACTTCAAAACCCCTTGACCGGGAAACACTGCTATGGCACAACATTACAGTAATAGCAGCAGAGATCAGTAAGTCAAATCTAAATACCGCCGCTGTCCCTGGTGTAATGAATTTAGCCTTCTAGCTGAGCGTGTGGAAAGCAGAGCTGGACAGATGTCAGGTTATATGGATAGTGCACTCAATACTAATGAAGAAGTGGAAACTCTGCGAGAGGTGCTCTGCCGACTTACGTTTTCTAGGGACACAGTTCATGAAGAGGTCACTTAGCTGAGCAGGGCAGAAAGGTAACAATTCTGTGTTTTCTAATCAGTAATAGTCGTTGTTAATTTTGAACGTGATTGTTGAATTCTGAAATTGGTAGGCAACAAGATGGGTTAAAGCCAAACTGCATGCCATAGCTGAACTCAGTCTGATCCAGACTGAATATAGCACAGGCTGGGTGATTTCATGCACAACTAAGCTGGCTGGGCTGAGCGAGGTGCCCAGATCTTAATCAGTTTCAAGGATTCCCATTTTTACCTTCTTTTGCATCCTCTGAAATTGCGAGTCATAGTTACAAATCAGTCTGTTACTTAGTTTAGGATTGCTCAGCAGAAGTGATCTTGTGATAATACTAGTCATGTTCATTTGAGGAGCTGAAATGCCAGGGATCCAGACAAGGATGTGCGTGCTAGGTGGTCTTCCTCAACAATCCTCTCTAGTTCAATACATTAACTATAAGCATGCTCAAATATTAGGGAATGCAGTTCCGTTCGCTGTTGCGGAGTCCCAGCGCCCACGGTTGTGAAGCATGTTGGAATGGTAGATAGGTGTAATACAAACAACAGTTCTACGACCGTCACAAAGTCCTGGTGCAACTCAGAGGCTAAATGGCTTTTTTACTTAAACATAACCTGAGACAACACAAGCTCTACTTTCTTATGTTGCATGTTTGTGTATATGGATCAGTCAGCTGCTGAACAGAGAGAAAAGTATAACAAAGGAATAATTGTCTCCAGCTTGCTTTATTCTGTAGGTTTTTTAAAAACTGAAAAAGTGTGAAACAATACTCTTGAGGAAAGCAGATGGAGTTATGTAAAAGAGGAGTGGGCTAGAGCCTCCAGTAATGATGTTTTTTAATAATTTCCTTCCTCTTTCGAAAACTCGCACCTTTTAATGCTAGCTATGTGGTTTTCACTGTAACAAACATCAACTTCTGGCTGCCTGTTAGTCAGGTGTTTGTGTTTCTGCTAAGTTTTTGAAGGAATGATCTGGGATCAAGGGTTGTACACTACACACTGAGGTCCTGGGTAGAGAAGGAAGGGAAAAATAAACACCTAAAAAGGAAAGAATAGCAATAGCATTTAGGAAGCACACTTGCATTGATCCCAGTGGAGCTGAAATAATATACACTATAGAAAATTGTATACTATTTGAAAACCAACTTAGCATCTATATGAAATACTCATTGAATTCCTTGCTTCCTCCCCTAAGGATAGACCTTTGACTGGGCCAAACGCTCTCAACTAAAACTTTTGTGCCTGACACAGGCTTCAGTCTTAATTACCATTCCTCTTCAGTCTGAATCCTTACAGGCTGCAACAAGTTACTTCCCAGTCTGTGCTTCACTGAGCCTAGACCGAATTTGGCATAACTGGGGTAGATGCCTTCCAAAGGCAATATCCTTGGCTGAAATGCAGCTACTGTTGAAAAGAGCCTTGGTCTGATTCAGGCTACCTCACTAATTTTTGTCTCAAGAGACCAGGCTGGATAGCACCCCTGCTTAATGCTCCTAGCTAAAACTAATTTCTAGCAAGGCTTGCTGAAGTCCTATTCCACTAAAATCCAGCTAATCGTTCATTGCTCTCAGGGACATGCCATCACATCAAACTCCAGATATATATCACTGAAGTAATCCAAAAGAAATATCAAGTTAAGTTACAGGCAGGATGCGCACTTGGATAGATGGGTGCTCCCATGGATATAAAAAAAGTTTTAAAAAAATGGTGAAGTCACAAAGAGAAACACGTTTCAGTGATGATTGTTCTTGATTTCATTTTACAGTAGGAAAAAAAAAAGAAAATATGGAAGCTCTTTTGCCTTTTATGGTCTAAAATTGTCAGTATGTGCCAATAGCTCCATTTTTTAATGTTGTTCGTTTTCACGAGTATGAGCTGCAGTTGCTCAGCAGCCTGGAGAATCATGCTGTGAATGTGGCAAACAAATAGTTGGTGAAACGCTGGGTCAGTACATGTGCCACAGTCAGAAGGTAAACTGGCAATAAAACTCAGTATACAGGGCTACTGATTCACAGCTGCAGAATTACAGCTGATTTACCAGGGAGAATTCTCAGAGTATTTGTAAATATTCTTTACTCAGCACTTAAGGGTAAATAAAACATTGGCAGGACTTTGAGGCTGTATTCAGAAAACAAACAGCGTGGTTGCTGGCTCAGGAGAAAACATAGTGCTATAGAGATGAATAGATTTAAGCAGTTCGTCGAGTCTGTGGAGCTCTTTTTGGAGTTGGAGCCCAGCAGTAATTAAAGGAAAATGCAAACAAATTAACCTACATCAATTAATTTGCAAAATAATTTGAAAAATGAAAAAAAAATACTTTAAGATGTATACATGTATTTCAAATTATATTTTCTTTAAATCAGAAAAAAGGCCTGTGTCAATAGATCATAGAGTTTTCATGAAGCTTTTATTTATTACAGTATCATTTTAAACTGCAAGAACCTTAAGCACCTAGAAATAAAATGAAAATATGTAGTTCATGGTTCAGAAAGCAGGAAAGAAAACAGTTGTAATCCTTGAGAGGAAAAGAAACACGTTCACCAATATATTTGAATGTGTTTGTTAGAAAGGTGTGTGCCCTTATAAAATAGTCTTGCCAATAGTCCTGCAACTTCAAATGAGTACCTTTTATTTCGGTCTATTATAAAAATTCAACATTTGTATTGATGTATTTTAGCATAAAATTCAGCCTAGTCTATATTATACATAAACTGTTATTTTATACATTGAATGAATTTATCCCAGTGGTTTATATTAGGAAGTGGTTTAGGCCTAATGGAATCATATTAACTTCAATGGGACTGAAGCTTTAAAGCACAATGTTTTGTCCAAATGACTGAGCTGTGTAATAAAAATACACAGTGCCAGTTTTGGAGAAGGCATTTTCAAATTTATAAAAGTATGATAAACACAGTAATAGGATTTTTATTAAAGGCTAACTCAACAAGCTACTATAATGAATGCTTGTAGAAGCATACAGAGTCTTAGATCTGCTATATTTTATTGCACTATTTTTTTCATTTGAATCATAGCCTATATTTCATTAATAAACTATATTAACACGGGTAGGAAATTAATGTAGCACAAGTTGGTGTGAGCCCTCATGAAAGGGAGGGGGAAGGTATTTGTTTTAAATTAAACTAATTTCAGTCACACACATTTCCTCATAGATTTTGCATTCTCACATTCCCACACCCACATACTCCCAGGCACTGAGGTATGTCTGTGTGACCTGACCTAGGTAATATTTGGTGTGATATGGAGCACAAAGGTCACAGATCAAGTCCTGGCAATGTCTCTTGGTTTCCTTTTGATTGGCGATGACAAATCGGTTTGGGGGTAGGCCTTGTACCTTTTAGAAATCGATGGTTGTTATGATGTCACTTTTTGCCGAGGAATCTTGCCTATTTCACCATTCATGGCTCCTAGACAAGGTTGCTGCCTGTTGGCTTTCTTCCTTCTTTTGTGTATCTTCATGACTAAAGCCTGTCTCCCTGCAACAGGAAAAGGAATGGTCCCACAGGACCAACAGTCCAACAGGAAAAGGAATTGTCCGTACAATGTGGAGAAACTCCAAATGTTTTCATTTATATCTAGAAATATGGCAATATTTTCATCAGTATTTTATGCTGAGGGATATCCTTATCAGACTCAATCTCTTGGCACTATACAGTCCTTATAGGTAAAAAAATATCTTTACATTCAAGGGTCTGCAGATTGTATATAGTGCTTATGTTCTTCAGCTGATACATTTTAGTGTCAATTCACAATAGATTAGAAAATAACTGTGATCACAGCCACAGTTACTACTTATATAACATAATGGCAATCATGATAGCTTAAGGAACTCTGTCACAAGATTTGTAGGGGACAGCTTATATATGACAGGTGTGGAGGAAAAAAACCACTCAGTCCTGTCTTCATGACTCTTCAGTCTTCTTATTTCAGAGTTAAGGAAGGGAATGTGTTCTAGAAACTTTGTTGCCACCAAACTGTATCAGTTAGGCTAGTAAATAGATTTAATTTAATTCCAGTATTATATTTTTATATATATATATATATATATCACACATACATCCATAATCATGCTTGAAGTGTTCGATGGAACTTGTAAGTCCTGGACTCCTACCCAATCTTAACTGTGTAGCTTACACAGAATCAGAGTAATGATAATACAGCATGATTTTGTGCTATTGACCCCATAGCATGATCCAGAAATCAAAAGAGTGTAAATAGAGTGTTGTGAGTGAACAGAATTAAGGCAGTGAGGCCCTAAGTCTGTCTCTGTCTTCTCCTGCACTGAGTCAGTAGTTGGGCTATATAAAATCTCTATTCTTTCTGGTTTTATCATTTCAGACAACCCAAAACAAAGCAGTCGTGTCCCAGTGTTCATTAAGGTTTTGGATGTAAATGACAATGCGCCAGAGTTTGCCATGTTTTACGAGACCTTCGTCTGTGAAAATGCAAAGTCAGAACAGGTATGTTGTCTGCTTGTACTACGAAAATATTCCAAATTAATTGAGTTTTTCTGCTACTCTTGCATCACCCCATCAAGAGGTATACTTTGCATTGCATCAAGCTGTCAGCATCGCAAAATTAAACTAAACAGTGGCTGCACACTATCTGATTATACTTAATATTCTTGCAGCTAATGTGACAGTATGTTTTACACTGTTGTTTTCTGTACTGCACCTTGTTATCCCTGATTCATTTCCGTTATGTGATTCTCTGCTTTTTCATGCAGCGCCACTGTCTCCTTCAAAAACAGTTTCAGGTCCATAACTGTTACAGGTCCTGTCTGTGATCTAAGTATTGACAGCCAGGTAACTCTCACTCTACCAGTCCTATTACAAAATGGTTCAAATTAGATGATTTGGAAGATTCGGCCAAACAATTCCTGTGACATGAGATTTGGGTAGATACATATGCAGTCAGCTTGGACTGTCTCACCTTTCACCTCTATTGCTTGTCACATGCCAAGGTTTCCTACCCATCTGGAGTGGCATCAACCCAAGCCTGCTGTTGAATGAAACATGATTTTTCTGCCAACTTTCAAATTGATTGTGTTACTGGCTGATAGTATGGGATACAATAGTACGGTGATCTTAAACAGCATCGGCAGCACACCAATCACTTTTGCTAAGCTCGCCATAGCAGCATCGGCTGCCTTAAAGCAGAAGAATAAAATGACTACCAGAAGATTGCTTTATGATCCCAGAGTACATAAATAAGCGTCAGCTTCACTGTCTTTGAAGATAATTTTGTTCTTATTGTTTCAGCTGATACAAACATTAAGCGCCGTTGATAAAGATGACCCTTACAGCGGACATCAGTTTTCCTTCTCCTTAGCTCCCGAGGCAGCCAGCAGCTCAAACTTTACACTGCAGGACAACAGAGGTGAATTTCTAGGAAGACTTTTCTTTAACATCTCATCCTCGCTTTCAGTCTTCAGATGAAAATTTAATGTGTGCTTTGTGTTTCCAGACAACACAGCAGGGATTTTCACCCGAAAAACCAGATATAACCGGCATGAAGTGAGTACCTACTTCTTGCCAGTGGTAGTATCAGACAATGACTACCCTATCCAGAGCAGCACTGAAACGGTGACCATTCGAGTATGTGCTTGTGACCATCGAGGAAAGATGCTGTCCTGTAACGCAGAAGCCTTGATTCATCCTACTGGTCTTAGCACCGGGGCTCTTATTGCCATTCTTCTCTGTATCATTATATTACTCGGTAAGTAGCTCAGAGGCATTTTGTTCCTTTTGTCGTTATTTTGCATACAAGTGATTACACCAAGGCTAGGACTAAAGCAAAGCAAAGATGTCCTTGCCTTATCCGGCATTTATATTATTGTGTTTCCTTCCCTGAGGGCTGCTATGGATGTGGTGTATCAAACACACCATATCTAATCTGTTGTCTAAAAGTTAGCGATGTCCAAGGAAGAAGGGACAGCTGGGCTACACCCTCTGGTCAGTGTAAAGGCACAGGAAACACTAGAGAAACGTTCATCCCATCCCCTTAGCGGTACTGAGGCTGACCAGACTAATCACCCTCTGCAGGTGACCGTCTCTTTCTGCTGACAATAGAAGGAGGCCACATAACTTAAAACAATTAATTTCCTGTGTCTAAATTGAGGAGAAACAAGTCTCAGTGTTTCTATTCTGTTGGAAAAAGATGCTGAAATGGAGTGGCAATGAAAGCACTGTCTCAAAAGCTGCAGCGTCCTCCCTTTCAGGCTCCTGTTAATATGAAGAGGTTGTTAATATGAAGAGGTTGAAAGGGGTTGGTCCTCCCCTTTCAGCACATACTGCAGCACGTACAGGTCTCTAGCTACAGCACTTACAGGTGGTCATTATTTTTTTTTAAATAAAAATAAGGACAGTTGCTAACATCTTTCACATTCCCTTCACTCAGGTTCCACCCCCTTCTACAGCAAATGGAGATGATAAGTCCTTCAGCCATTAGCCACAGTCTAGTCATCTGGGTAGGACTGTACAATGCAATGCAGGCAATTCCCAGGGACACTGTATTAGTCACCTTAGTATCTGACCAGGAGAGAAGGGATTCAGACCAATTTTACAGCAGTAGGTTCAAGCAGGGGAGAAAATGCTTCCTCAATGATTCCACTTCTTTCTACCATGCTCCTATCTTCCTTGCACATACTCATCACCACTGCAGAATCATCCTGGTCTTTACTATTAACAAAATTTCCCTCTCCTGTGATGAGTCAATGACCATGTTGTCATTCTCAGACTTTAACAGTAACGTCCTGGCTTACCCAGATAAGCACTATACCATTTTCAGAAAAGATTCCCACAATAACAATCTTACCCTTAATTTGCCATTAAGTACTGTTTTTCAAAACGTGGTATCATCGCCTCTAAGGTCTGAGCTGCCTTTGCATCAAGTTCCTTACCAGAAAAAGAAATCTAATACTGCAGATAGTCTTGCATTCGTTAGTACAACTGTGCTCATTAATATCAATCCGACATTAAACGATTTCCTGTTTTATGTCAATCGAAAATAATTGATTCTGTGTGCTAAGCAGCACTTTATGTCAATTACTGCTCATGCCACCATGCACCATAAGCAGATTTTCAATTAACTCAGCTATATAATTTTCTATTTTCAGGCTGGTTGCAGGCTTTGCATGTGCAACCACTACTGAGTGAAAAACAATACTCTGGGCAGACCTGAACCACTACTTAAAGTTTAGCAGCAACAAAAAGTGCCTGTAAATTGTTAGATTTATCTGCAGTTTGAGTAAATGTGGCGGCTTATCAGGAGGCCTCAGATGCTGCTTAACACTGACATACAAATAAATGTGATGTACTTTAACATATAAAGGGTTTTTCTTGCGATTTCAGCACAAAATAAGAAAACCCCAGTATCAGAGATGTGACACAGTTATTAAAGTCTCATCCTTGCATATTCTGTGTAACACGTTTTTTTGTTAATGAGACACTTCAGCAACCCCTCCATGCAAAAACTGTAATTCCTAAGATTTCTCAGATAGTTCTACTAGTTGCTATTCCGGAAGCCCATTCAAAATCAACACTGTGTTTCTCAAGTTCCCCAAAATTTTCTCCAGTTATCTCTGTTCTCTCACATATACCTTCCCTCAGTCCTCCCACGCAGTGTCACAGCTTTATGCCCTTGAGAAAAAGAATTCTCTCTTACTGCATTTTTGCACAGTAGCGCAAAGAAGCATCACTCAAATTAGGACCTGTACATGACGCAGGAAGTAAATCCTCATCATTAGGGCGAGAGCCTGAAGCTTTTACCACCTGAACCAGCACTCCTAATTCCTTCATTTTCACCACCTCACTTACTTCCTTTCAATTCATTTTAACAGACATTCTCCCTTACTCACACTATTCCTATGGTAAAGACACAGCAAGAATTACAGCATTTTCCTACTTTATCCAATCTTCTTAGGATTCCTCTATATTCAATGGATAGAAGGAGTACAAGATTTCTCCACAGCATTCTTGAGCACACCTACAGAGAGCATCTTGCTCTAACCAATCCTGCAAGGGAGGCCGTTTTTTGTTGTTTTGTTTTTTTTTTAAATGACAACTTTCTGTCTGTCGAAGGAAGCTTAAAAAGATAAACTTTAAAGGCTAAAATTTTGTTTTGGGAATGTCCTCAGTCATTGGCAGGGTTACAGATGACAAGGGACTGCCAAAAAAATAAAAAAAAGTCTTTAACAGTTACTGTGCTTTGACTCACACACCATTTTAGAAAGACAGCTGACGCAAAAGATAATTTTGATCCACCTTATCATCTCTTATCAATGAATTTAGGCATTTTCTGATTTGATTTGCTTTGCTATGAAAGAACAATAAAGACAGCATGATGTGTCTTTTTTTGGCGTTTGCACAGCAGAGCTGAAATACTGGGCTCTGTGGACTTCAGACTACCAAAGCAACAGTGACAGTAGTAATACATCCCTGCTCCTTCCTTCTGTTAGTTTGTAAACACCCAGTCATTCACCATGCTGAACTTCTATCACAGCCCAGCGGATACGAGCCTTGTCCATAGCACAAGCTGCATCTTTTCTCAGGGGTTCAAGGTAAATAGCACCTGCTATGACTTATTTTGGAAAAAGTGTTTCTTCCTTCCCAACTCTCATGAAACTAGTTCCGTTCTCCAGGCAAAAAAATTGCTGTATGACCCTGGGTAAAAATGCACCTGCTGGCAAAAAGACACTCCACTTGGCTCCTTACAAGCTCGATGTCCCTTTTCTTCTAGTGCAGATCCGTGCTATCTCACCTCCCGAGGTACTCACAGACAGAGCGAGCACAGTCCGAAAACACGACGTGCGTGTTCGCGGTTTTGCAAAACATCTTTTAAAACTTTGAATTCCAGCAGAGGCGCAGTATTTTTTTGGGGTTTTACTGGAGTTAGGGATTAACCTTTCCGTTTCCCTTCCCCTGTTACTTTTGTTTCCAGTTACAGTGGTGCTGTTTGCAGCACTGAGACGTCAGCGGAAGAAAGAGCCTTTGATTATTTCCAAAGAAGACATCAGAGACAACATTGTCAGTTACAATGATGAAGGCGGCGGAGAGGAAGACACCCAGGCATTTGATATCGGCACGCTGAGGAATCCTGAAGCCATAGACGATAACAAACTACGCAGAGACATTGTGCCGGAAACGCTTTTTATGCCACGGCGGACTGCAACGGTGCGTGATAACACGGATGTCAGAGATTTCATTAACCAAAGGTTAAAGGAAAATGATATAGATCCAACGGCACCTCCATATGACTCGTTAGCGACATACGCGTACGAAGGTAATGGTTCTGTGGCCGAGTCCCTCAGCTCCTTGGAGTCCGTGACTACGGATGGAGATCAGGACTATGATTACCTCAGTGACTGGGGTCCTCGGTTTAAAAAGCTGGCAGATATGTATGGCGCAATGGACAGTGACAAAGACTCTTAATATGTTGCCTTTTTGTTTCTTGGTCTTTTTTTTTCCCTTCCTCATTTTCAGAAACAGCATTGACATATGTGAAGTGGCTATTTCTTTCTATTTCTCCACAGCTGTGTGAAAGGGTTTTCTGTTCTACCCGCTCAAATTGTCTAATGACTGCAGCCTGTGCGGATTAGAAACTTTTTCTAGTATCATTTTATGAGCTTCCAAGAGGCAAAGTTCTTATTTTTTAGTGCATCCAGTTTACCAAGCCAATCTTACAGGCACGGCAGTAGTGGAGGGGGAAAAAAGGATCAGACGGGGAGCAATATTTTTACTTGTGCTGCTTATATTGTAAATTGGAGTATATTACTGTTTAAGCTCACTTGCTCTTTTTACTTGTATTCAGACTATTCAGCTCAGATGACTGCTCTGTTGATTGTGCATTGCACACCCAATGTAATGAGGTACCCTAGTTTACCCTATGTATTATAGTCAAAAGTAGTGGTGATGGAATGAAGGTTTATTATACAAGTAGAGTCAGACAAGAAAAAACATCAAACATACGTTTTACTCATGAGGAGAGTAGGAAGGCCAAATGGTGACTTCAATCTAAGTGTTTTTCTAGAACTTGCCCTTGCCCCCAGTGCACTGAATCATATTAACACACACACGTATGTATAGTTCTTTGACTGCTCTGTATATATTCTTCTGACCTAGCATTGCTGGAGAGATGTGTGTGCGTACGTGCGTGCGTGTGCGGTCAGCAGCCCCAAAATCTAATTCTTATTGATGATTTCTCAGTTGTAAGACAGACTTTCCTTGTGCTATGGGGAAAGTCAGCTAATCCAGATCCAGATTAGATCATGACTTGGAGGAAGGAGCAGATCAGAACTGTGCTTTTCTTCCTTTCTACTTTTCCCAGTTCAGTGATGGACACTGTGCTAGGTAGATGGGAGTCAGGCTTTTCCAATCCATCTGCTTCTGGCTGTTGTCACATGCAGGAGAAGAGTAGTAGCCTCAAGCTGACTGCCACACGTTGGGACAAAAGGAGCA